GTAACATACAGGTGGATTTGTTCATGCTACAAATGGAAATGTATTGCAACGGGATGTACATGGAGTAGCAAATTTAGTATTCTTTAGTTTTCACTTTATGAAAGTATCTTCCACTGTCGAGAGCCTGTTGCGTGTTTTGGATTTAATATAGCATCTTATGGAAGTTTGTATAAAGTATTCTTATTTTAGGATTTGGGGCTTTTAGATACTCTTCTATCTTCTTAGCCTAATTAGAACGGTAACGAACAGTAGAGTGAAGTTCTGTGCCGTGAAGTGCAGCTGTCCGTGCAGGCTCTTGCCGTTACCCCGTGGCTTCAGGCGGGACCAAGTTAAGCGGGGAATCACAGCTTTGACACCGAACAGTCCTGTTGTCACCGGCTTCCTTGAAGCTTGCGGTTGGTGTTGCAGAATTAGTCTTGATTCCTATTAGCAGGTGGGTTTAATTAGCCTGGGATGTAGGAGAGATCGGAGCCTCCCTCAGAGCTGGAGGAAATTAGGCAGGGTTTAGATATTGAGGTCTTAGAAGTTGCGGGTAAGAGGGGAAATTTAAGTGGCAGCTTGTTTTGGGAGCACTTACCAATAAATAAAATACCAGGAAGAGTGGTAACATCTGCCTATACAGACAGAGCACAGCCTTGTGCGTACTTTGTGGGAAGCTGTGCTTTTCCTTCTTTGTATTCTTTTATATGTTTTTGTGTCACTTCTTTGCTTTTTGAATACACATTTTTGGTCTCTGTGTCTGGTGTTGCGTACCTTTTGCTTCCTTCTTGCTATGAGTCCCATCTCCTTATCTTCATTTATTTAAGTTTTCTTAACGTTATTAAATCAATCTCATTTTTGTTCTCCTATTTAAAATGCTGGACTTCTTTCCGTCTTAAGGTTACATCTTATGCCATTTTTTTAAAGATGAAGGGAGTCTCTTCTTTGCTGCTTCTTTTGGTCAATCCCTTCCTTAAGCTTTTCAGTTTGGGGAGAAAGAAGCCCCTTAGCTCATATTTTGTTTTTTAATGAATGCAGGGAATACCTCTTTGTAGGAAAATAAAAAGGCAATGGGTTTTGCCTAAGTGTTTTGCAGTTCCCCCTTGTTCCTGCGAGACTTGCACTGCACAGTTCCTGCACGTTTCGGTGCCCGTCCACGTTCATGGCCTGAAGAGGTACGGTTTCATGCATTCTCGGAGTGATGCAGCTTTCACTCAGTGCGTCAGTGTAATTGTGGCTTTTGCTTCAGTCGGTGCTAATCGTCCTTTCCTACGGCACTTCACAGAACCTGAGAGCTCTCAGAGTGCACACGTAGCAGAGATCGAGAAGATTGAGAAGATTGAGGTCTTACCTGCTCAGCAGTTCTTATATGGTTTATTGCTGGCTTCCTGTTAATTCCTGTTCACTTTTAGATGCATTTCTGGCAAACTTATTTTATCATGTCAGACGAAATTGTTCGAGAGCATTATACTGCAAAGATTGTTATTTTTTGCCCTCTTATGTCTGTTATCTGTTATTCTCTGTGCTCCCTTTGTTTCATCAAAATGTGGTAAAACTGCATAATGCATCTTAACTCATAATATACTAAGCTGTTACTTAGATAGTTAAGCAAATATTTTTTAAATTTTTCATGCCTATTTATTTGTGTGAGAAGCCCCTAAGATTTTTTTTTCCCTTTCAGACTAGCAGACGACTTAAGCTGAGTCTCAACTCCTGTTTAAATTTATTCATAAAACAAGGTGTTGTGGTTGCCTAGTGGTTTTTCCAGTAGTCCTCTGTTACTATGCCTGTGGGTGGATTGCGAAGGAGAAAGGTTAATACAAGATAAGCTTTTTCAAAAGTAATCACTGCTGTACGATGTTAGAAACACAGTAGTTACCCTAGTTTAAAAATGATTAACAGAATCTAAATTTCACTAGCATTGAGGAATTGAAGGGAGAATTAATGTTCAACTGTTTCTTTTTTCTTTTCCTCAGTTTTCCTTATTTGCTTCACCCCTGTTAATGACTGGGATTAATACATCTTTCTGTATTTTTGGAGTTCCGTTGCTGTCTGTGCTGTATAAATACTGTTTGTAATCAGCGTAAGTAAATACAATGAACTTTAGCAGGTAGAGTCGGTTTTATTTGGGAAGGCTGTAGCTCTGGAGCGCTAAGGGAAAGTAATGAAAAATGAAATATTTGCAAAGAACTTTGTACAGTGATGGAAGACCCTGGAAAACTCATCTTTGGAGGAGGTCAGGCCATGTCTCTGCGGATCCACGGCAGGTCGTCGTGGCTGGTGTTTTCCTGGTGCTACGTCAGTAGGCTGTGTTAGGGCGTGCTTTCCGCATCCCTCAGCACTCCAGTCTTGGCCGCTCTGTCCTGCACCGAGCAAATAAACCCTGCGTACATCTCAGCTATCGGAGAACAAACGTATAGGAGAAATCGCAAGTTGAATCAAGTGCAGCGGGATACACTAGATCTACTTTGGAGCTTTTTTCTGCGCTGTTCCCTCTATAGATCCCCTAAAATAGGGCATTGCGCTCAGCTTGGGTTAGGCTGGGGTCTGCACCCCGCAGAGGCGGCCAGGCTTCACGCCTGAACTTGAGACCCTTCTACGTGTGCTAGCTTGTTATCTGACCAAACTGAAGTCGTCTCTGCATGAAGCCAATTCTGGATTGTCTGCATCTGCACTCTGGACTGATCTACAGCCCAGATCAACTGCTCTGATAATTGAAGGATTGACTGAACTAATGCATCCTGCAGAGATGGCTTCTGTGAGTAGAACTTCACATTTTTGTTAAGATCTTCACTGTAATAGCCCGTTGACAGTCATCTACCTGCCTCACCTGCGTGACCGTGACAGGGAACACAACCTGTATCAGCTATTTTTTATAATTGTAAAACTCAAAGGATACACAATTATTATTGACCACCCTAGACTAATAAATCTTATGGGTGCGGAAGATTGAAAATGAAAGAACAGTGACAGCTTCTGTAAAGAAAACGTAAGTTTGTTAATGCTGTTATAAATACGTTATTACAGATTTGATGCAGCAAATCTACTTCTGATTTTTTAAAAGCTGTTTTTCTGTATATAAGTTATACCTGCTATTTGTTCTCCTTAGACATGTGAATGAAGGGAAACCTAGGATTTGAGCATCCAGCCAATCTGAACTGAATTTGCTGTTATTTGCAGCTGTGAAAGGTAGATGTGAGAACAAGCTCAAATTTGAGCTGAGACAGTAAGCTCTCAAGCAATAAATATTTTAGATTCCTCAGTTATTTCTGTTTGAAGGACTACACCCTTAAAGCAAGGAGAGGCCTTGCATCAAACGAAGGTGATTTCTGTTCCTGTAGGGTACTTCTTGGTTGGTTGTTTTTTTTACCTGCAGACTTCTTGGAAATTGTGGTTACCTTTGAATAGTGAATGTCTGTAGGGCAGGGGTTTGTAAATCTGTGCTGCTGCATCATGGTGCTTGTAAAACTGGTGCCTTTGGGCCAACCAAAAAATAGATCTAAAATTCAGAATACTCTTGTAGGATCAAAACTTCCTCCACCTGAGGACTGATGGATGGATGGATGCTTTTTAATTTGTCATGACATGATAAAAATCCGTTTTGAGACAGAAAATGTTCTATAGTTCATAATATGCCACTTAAGTGGTAATCTGATCTATTGTATTAGTGCTAATAGTGTGACCGATAACAGGAGATATTGTGTTGCAAGAGATGCCATCTGCTGAATGAAACGTAAAACTGAGGCTCTGACCTCCGGTGCTAGTCTGAAAGGCTCAGTGGCAAGAATAGGTGTGTTAACCCCGCTATGCTGGACAAATTCCAGACTCAATAACGACATTCTTCCGAAATGTAATTTATAGCTTCATCTGGATGTAGTATTTTCTTTTGCTTATTCTATTGCTGAGTTTTATTAAACAGTTTTTGCCTTTTAAATGGAGTGATCTTTTTCTATGTGATTTTGCTTTTAAAGGCCTTTGGAATTTTGCTCTCCGAGAGGTGCTAAATAAATTTTTTTACACTGTTTTAAAAAATGCTGTTTGCCCCCAGCCCTCTCAGTACTTAATGAAAATTTTCAACGAGGTGCCATCAGAATTTTTACGAAGATGTGTGTTCTAATAGAAACTAATGCAAGCTCGAACTGCTGTTTTCCTAAATGTTCATTGTCTATAGCTATTCATGTACCATAGAAAAGATATATTGATCCATGATAAGTTATAAATTAAAATTTAGAAAACAATCTAAAAGAAATTCAGGAATCATGAAAAGGTTTTTTGGATACATATAGAAACAGCCATATTGTAATACTACTTGATCTTTTTTTTATTCAAGTATATCATAACGTATTTATTACAGAGGAATGGGTAACGTGATTGAGAACAGAGTATCTTATAGCCGTGTAGGAACTTGTAACCAAGAACCAAATATGCGCCCAAACCCGTGCACCTGCATTCAGTTTCTGGCATTATTGGGTCTGTAGAGTTGGCCTGTTTATAGGTTTTCTGCAAAGTGTGTTTCAAATCTGAATTGGATATTAAGAAGCTGCGTGCAAAGATGGGGTTTTGACATGTCACTATTGGGGTTTTTTGAACATTGTTCTTAGTAGTAATGTATCGAATATGTAAATACAAGCGCTTAGAAGCAGCTATAAATTGGTTGATTATTTGCCAGCTAAATTGATCACAACTTAAGAATTTAAAGTTTAATGTTCAAGAAAATAGTTCCTTCCTTTCCTTCTCCAATTGCTCTAAAGATTACTCTGGTAATACTAGATTACTTTGGGTGAAGGGGTGAATACTAGGTATTGTGGTTTAATTTATTTTGCATTCTTCCTTCAGAGTAGAAGCAATGCTTTCTTTTTCACTTTTCTTTTGATAAATTGGGAGGTTTTTGTTTAAAAGTATTAAATCACTAAATGATTTGAAAATGTGTTTAAAATAGTTGGACTATGTAACAAATCTAACATACAGTGACAGTAGAAAATGTATGACTGCTAAATTTTAATACTGTGGATTTTGTGTAGATCACGATCAAGACCTCGTCAACGTTCTTGTAGTCGAAGTAGTGAAAGATCCAGTCATAGGAGAACTCATAGCGGGTCTCGTGAAAGAGAGCGGCGTAAAGGCAGAGAGAAAGAAAAAATAAAAGAGAAGGGCAAAGGAAAAGAAAAGGAGATATGTGGCACGAAGCATGGGTAAGTGAAATGACAAACAATATAACTGTAATAAAAACAGGGAACAATTTAGTGTTTTACTTTTTTGTAATCAGTTTATTTTATAATATGTGGTATTTTATATAAACCAAGCGGAAATTATTTTAATCTTTGAATATGTGATTCTTAGTATTGTAAAGTTCTGGAATGTGACAACATTTCCAACTAAATGATGGTTTAATTTACAGTTCTTCCCACCACCCCCCTTGATTTGCAAGTATGTTGAATAGCTTTCTTCAGTTGATTAATATAAATATTTTTCCAATACATAATAAACACAATTTAAGGAAAAAATGAGGAATATTGGAAAGTACGAAGCCTATTTCCTACAAAAAGATGGTTTTCACTGTTCACACCCCCCACCAACCCCCTACAATGTCAGAAGTTCCTGTTGGGCTTCATTTGTGGCTGAAGGTATGGCTTCAGCAGAAGCACGTGCTGTGGGGGAGTGACGGACTGCTTTTCAGAACCTGCCGTCAACCTAATTTCTCCTTGGAACGACTTGGATTGTTGATCTTGGTTTTTACAGATTTCAGAAAAGGCAATTTCTGTAATTACCTCTGCTTTATATACCTTGATCTCCTGCAGCCTTTGCTGTGATGTTTATCTTTTCCCTGTTTATGTGATTGGTTTCGAAAAGGAAGACGCTGGTGCGTCACTTCATGAATTCCCCTTTGGTGGATTCCCACTGAAACGCTAAATGGGAATTTCTCGAGTAGCATCCTCCACCCATGTAAACCTCCCTGGTTTTATGGCTTGATGATACTAGTTATTTGGTTTCTCAGATATCATTACCTACTTGTCCATGGTTATAGCATTGATTATGTGGTTTTTTCCTTATTTGCAGTATATCCCTTAGGCTGCTGGGAACTTCAAGAGTGGCGTCTTCCACTCATTTTAAAGGATACTTTCCTTATTTTACTCAACCACGTGGAATATTTCTCAGTTCTTGTTGCAGATGTTTTCAGCAATCTTGGCATTCAATGTAAACAGAACCTCGGAGATGTTTGCAGTATGTCTGATAAGTCATAAACAAGATGCCTTTTACCCAGTTACTGAAATTCAAATATATTTTGATACTTCTAGAAGGCTTGAGGAGAAGGCTGGATGCTCCAGCCAAAATTGTTGAGTTTTTTCATTGGTGGGGTTTTTGGGGTTTTTTTGTTTGTTTGTTTTTTAATTGAAGT